AGACCTCGGCTAAAATCCTAAACAGGAATGGGGGCAAAGGTTTTTCAAGATTTAGGGAAGTTTGTTTTAATTTTCCTAAGTAAATGATTTCTCTATCAGAATCCAAGCCTAAATCTATATGGAAATAGAGAATCGATGGCAAGAATCTAAAAACAAGACAAAGAAAAACAGGGGAAAAAAAAACATGATTCAGACTCAAGAAATTCAAGAACACTAAGTGAATGTGTGCAGGTGTGCAAAAACTCAGAACAATGGTAAAGTTCCTAAAGTCTTAAGTACATGAACAGTGTGCACATGTAGACCCAGAGACAGATTGGGCAAATGCAAAATCGCAAACAAACATGCTCATTACATGAATGATGAAATTTAAAACACAAGCAAAGATTGAAGAGCATGAATGGATTCACAATGGCAACAAACAAACGCAATAGAGTTTGAAATAAATAAAAAACTGAAAAGAGGGAAAACAGTGACTTATCGAAGAGAATGATGCCGGTATGAGGTACGCCGGAGTCAGACGGTGACGGTGAATGGAGCAGAACGGTGAATGTTTCACCAGAGGGGATGAACGAAGCGAGTTGCAGGGCTTGAGAACTTGGACAATGGCGGTTTGGAAGAGAAAAGCTTTAGAGAGAGAAAGCTTGAGCAAGATCGAAGATGTAAAGTGAAAAGACGGAAAGAGAGAAAGTATTTTTGTTAAAACACGAAAAGGCGGCAAAACCACAATGAATGTGCCTCGGACGACATGCCTGTCAAGTGGTGCGCGCAAAAGTGACGCGACTTGATGGCGCGTGTCAGGTACAGATCAATGAGAAAATGACGCGTGGATAAAACGGTTGAGAAAACTGTGCGTGACAGCTCATACGCAAATGAAACTCTTAGAGTTCTTGATTTAATGAAGTAAGGACCTCGGCTAGAAAAACGGTCCTGGTTAAGGAACTTGAAGAACTTGGTTCTTAGTCATTAAAAAAGTAGACTACAGAGTCGTGGTCATGTCCAGCCGACGTGTGATGATCTCGATCATAAAGGATGGAGTAAGTCCTAATCGATGTGCTATGTGGACAAACGGTATAGGTTCCATCACCTCAGGATACCGAGATAATAGAACCTAGGGGGCAATTGTGGAGGGATATTTTGTAAATGACAACATATGGCCAAGGTGACACCGAAGTGTCAGCCGAAGTGCCACGTGTCTTGGTCATGGCGCCGAGGTGATCTCGGGTAGGCCGAGGTTATCTGCGGAGATACCGGAGTCCGAGATGAACGGATAAGGGACAAGAGTCCTAGAATGGGAAAGGACCTTAGTTTGGATAAAGATAAAGCTCTTAGGGAGTTTATCTCTATCTGGCTGGGAGTCCTAGATGAGCATTGAGCCGGAGTTCATTGAAACTAGGCTTCTACAGGGATCAGGTTAGTGTTGGCTATAAAAGTAGGGCACCCTCGTGGGTCAAAGGTACACTTTTTGTATTCTGGCTAGTGAGTTAAGCACTAATTGGTATATTTGAGAGATAACTGAATGCTGACTTGATCGTCGGAGTGCCCCTAGGTGGACGAACCACCGCCGGAGTCTTATCTTTCTGTGACAGGTTATTCGGGCGCGATCTATTCTGCCTGTGCTCTCCTGCTGAGTTCCTGTTTGGCAGTGTGGTCGGAAATCAACACCCACAAGTAGTAAGTGTAATTTAATGAAATAGGAGGAGATCAAAAATAATGAACCACATTCATTAGATGATCTAGTACTTGCCATTTATAAATACAATACTTACCATACGTTTTGATTCTATTTACCATACTTTTTAATTCTACTTGCCACTTGTTCCGAACTTACTACTTATTATATAACAATTTACTACTCATTTTAAACTTATTATCGAAGTTTGATGGACTAGTAAGTGAGATTTTATTAAATAGTTAGTCAAGTTTAATGAAGTAGTAAGTAGTCTCATTAAGTAATAAGTGAAATTTAATTGAGTAGTAAATCAAGTCAAATAAAATGATATTTTAAAAAGTACCAAGTTAAGTCTAATAAATTATTAAAAATTCACACAAAAATAGGACCCCCGAGTCCCCGAATAACGTGAGATATTTTTTTTGTATAAGTAAAATGAAGTGGTATTTTTTTCAATACTAAATGAAGCGGGATAAACTTTTACATTTTGTTTGATAATTTAAAATTCATATTTCTAATTTATTATTTATCACTTATTGTGACTTTACCTACAATTTGTTTCATTCTACTTACCAATCAATAGTAATTGGATCTTATTGAGTAGTAATTATGTTTGATTAAATTGTAAGTCAAGTTTGATGAAATAGTAAGTTGAGTATGAACGAGTCTGATAAGGTCTAATTGAGTAATAAGTAAAATATCATTTAGTACTTACCATTTATAAGCACAATACTTACCATTCGTTTTGATTATACTTACCAAGCATTGTGACTTTACTTAGCACTTAATATTTAATTATATTTATAATTTTTGTATATTTACTATTTGTTACTAATCTACTTGTCACTTCTTGTAATAAGACACAACTTTATCAATAAAATAACTTAGTATTGTATAACTCAAAATTAATTTAAAATTTGATTGCACAACTTTAAAATTTGTTCCGTAAATAGTAAGTAACGTTCAATCTTAAACTAAACTGCATGGTTTGATTTATTTTTTTAATACATGATTTGGTCTTAATTTTTAAAATTGGCGAACCATACTTCATGATTTGGTCCGTAATTTTATAGTTACGATTATGATTTAGAACCGAATTGATCGGTTTATATATGTATGTATGGATGTGTATATATATATATATATGTACTTTATTATTTACAGTAAACACCCACCTTATTAGTATTACGTTTTTGTACATAAATTGTTAATTCTATATGTTTAGAAGTGTGATTTTGTATAATAGTTGAATTAGTTCTAAACAATCATCTAAATACTTTTGTTTGCAAAACGAAGACATGTATTCAAATAAACTGTGAGTAATATTTTGTGATTATATTGTGAAAAATGTGATTCCAAACAGAACCGAACTTCATTTTACTGGTTCAGTCTGATTTGGTTATTAGATTTTTATTATTTGATTTCAAATTTCATGAATCCATGAGTAGTTTGATCGTTTGGTCATTAGTTTACTCTTAAATAAACCAAATCGAATTATACTCACCTTTAATAGGACAACTTAAAACTTAATGTAACTCTATTTATCATTTGTTATGAGTTTATTTACTACTAAATATAATAAGTCTCATAAGATTAATATAATTACACCGATCTCTCATTTAGGAAAGTTAAAACAATTGTAATTAATGCTGATTATATGCAAACACAAGAATGAAAAAGGATAAAATAATATTTCAATATTAAAAAAATGTCGTCAATTTTTTTATTCATATAACTAACAAAATGTTATAAATAAATAAACTAAATATTATGTAAATTAAATTTTGAAAGAAGTCTAATACAATTATGTCAAATTTTATAAAACTCAATCTATTTTTTAAATCTGATCCAAAAAAAATTCTGTTGTTTAAATCCTTAAAAAGATTAGCGTAATTTTTTTAATTTTTTTTTTCCCTGTATTTTGAAACAATTTGATATAAAACCCAATGCATAAAAGGTGACTCTTTATTCTTAAAAACTAAAAATGAAAACAAAAATAAAAGTCACCCCGGCGAAACCCGCGATTTCCGGTGGATAAAGTGCGTTAAGAGTGATATTGCACTTTTATGTATGGTTATTTTTCTGTACTGTAGTTGGATCCGACTATCAGTACACAAAGTCTCGTTTAGTATATCTGTTAAAACAGTTTATAAATCATAATTTAACAAATTATAAATTATGACTTTAATTAAAAGTTGTTAATATGTTTGGTGTAATTATTGGATTATAGATTTAAGTTGTTGAGTAGTGTTTGTTAAATAAACTGTGAAATAGTTTTTTCAATTAATTTTTATTTTTTATTTGTCTACATTTCTCATAAAAAATAATAATAATAATCTATAGTCTATTTGGGTCTTGTTCTATTTTTAAAAAAATAAAAAATAAAAAAATTTAAGAGTATAACTATAAATTAACATGTCCACAGCAGAAGTTGATAATCAGAAGCAAGGGGTGAGCAGTTTCTCAGAATCAGCTTTTTTGAGTTAAAATAAACTGTTAGAATCAAAAGGTTATTTGAAATAAGTTTAACCAAACCGTCCAAAATAACTTTTTTAAAGTTAAAAGTCATAGCTGAAACAAACACCCCGGGTACAAAGATAAACAAATAAAAGAATAATATAATCCTTTAAATTTTAAACTATTAGCCCGAGTACATTAAAATATAACACTTTGTTTGGTTGGAATTTTTTAGAAAATTTTATTTTTTTATTTTGAATATTTTTTTTATTCAATTTTTTTTAATATTTAAAATAATTTTTAAAATTTTTAGAATATACCAAATATAAATATACCTAAAAAGTAAAAAAATTATGAAAAAATATTTTAAAATTTACAAAATACCAATACATTTTTATATTTTTATGTATTTATTTAATTTTTTAAATATTTTTTCATAAATTTTTTACTTTTTAGGATATATCTAAATAAGGTACATCCAAAAAGTAAAAAAATGTTTAAAATTTTTGAAAATATTTACTAAAAAATTAAAAATAAAAAATACAAAAAACTAAAAAAACTCAATTTTATTAATTTATTTTAAATTATATCAACTCTCTAATTTTTTTTTTTTTTACATATTTTTAATATAAAATAAATAAAAAAATACAAAACTTATAAACATACACACAAACCAACGATTGAAACAAAAAGAGGTATAGGCGATAATCTCATGGAGGAAACACACATGCGAAGCGACAAGATCCAGATGGGTGCCACAAATAAAATATCTTTGGCGTGGCATTGTGTCCCCATTGCTAAAGTGACCCACCCCTAATCATCACAAAAATTGAGTAATTTCGGATAAATCTATTCACAACCCAACAGAAATATGAACCTACTGTTCTACCTCCGGCGAGAACTATGATCATTTCATCATCATCATAACTCTCTCTCTCTTTCTCTCTCTCTCTCTCTATATATAGATAAATGTATGTGTGTATAATTAGATTAAGTTGTGTGTATAATTGTTGTTGATTTGTGGAAATATGAGTGGTGGTGGTTTTCCATCAACGAGAGGCTGCCGCCACCGGCAGGGGTGGTTGACGGCGTTATTGGCGGCGGTGTTATTGTCCGCTGGATCTACTCCGGTGGCGGCGAGGCTACAGAGCACTTCCTCAAATTCCATGGAAGTGACTCGGAGAACACTTATGGACAATGGACTCGGCCTTACACCTCAGATGGGGTACTCTCTCTCCCTCTCTCTCTCTCTCTCTCTCTCACTCATTTATATATATATATCATTTTTATCTGTATAAAAATGATCACAGATACAACATTTCATGATCGATCACTCACAAGAGTATGTAGGAATTCCAACATTTCACAGTGTGAGTTTTAATTACTTTTTTCTTCGAAAAAAAAAAAAAACTGAAACGGATCACAGAATCAAAGGTTTGAGTGTTCTGTGATTGGGTTCTGCAATAAATTTCTCTGCTCGTGAAATATATGTGAAAAAAAAAAGTGTTTTACAATACTCAAAAAAAAATATTAAAAATAAATAAATTGAGTACAAATTTTTCTATCAATTATTTTTATTTTTATTTTATTTTTTATCAAACCCTCTTATGTGTGTGTGTGGATGATGTGTGAATCCCACACGTGAGGGTTCGGTAAAAACTTGACAAATAGTATGTATGTGTGGCATAATTGAAGAGTTCGGATCATCGGCCGCTCTTTTCTGCAACCCTTCTTGCAGCACCCAAAACGACGTCATTTTGGAAGAAAATTTTCACGAAAAAAAAACAAAACAGAACAGAACCTAGAAATGGGGGAGAAGAAAGAAAGCAGTGGGGTGGGTTTGATCTCGAGAGCCCCCTTCTCTCTCTCTCTCTCTCTCTCTCTCTCTCTCTCGTGATCTTGATCTTGCCACCAATGATGAGCCACCATCTCGATCTGAAGAAGAAGAAGAAGAAAAAAATAAAGGACGTGGGGTAGGTTTGACATGGCGGTGCTGTAACGGGAGAGAGAGAGAGACTTGAGAGAGAGAATTCAAGGTTTTGATTTTTCATCATATTTTTTAGCCCATGATTTGAGAATAAGACTCTCTCTCTCTCTCTCTCTTAAAAGTTTCACTTTCTCTCCCTATAAATACTCACTCGGATATTCTCTGAATTACTTGGCAGCCTCCATACAATTGACTTGAGCTCTGAGGTACACCAAAGACCCACAAAATTATTTTAAATTATTTTCTTTTAATCAATCTTAATTTGTCACTTTTTCATTGTCTTAAAGCTATCGGCTTTCTAATGCTAAATCTTTTTGGATTCGATTTTGGTTTGAATCGAATCAAATCGGTTTAATTCTGGATTCCCTGTTTCTGAATTGGGTGAATCGTGCTTGATTTGTTCTTGTTGGCGGTTGTGATCTCTGTAGGTGTATGTTTTTCAGAGGTTTTGATTGGTTTCACTCTGTTTTGTACTTGAATTGATGTGAATTTGATGGGTTTTGAGTTTGATATCTGGGTTTTGATTGTTTAGACATGGGTTTTCTATATGTTTATCTGTTCTTTTGGTTTGTTATGTTGATGGAAGCAATCAGAGATAAGAGATGTAGATTTGTTTTTTCATAGCATCTGATATAGTAGTGAATTGGGCACAGTTCTATTGATTATTTGCTTGAGAGAGAGAGAGAGAGAGAGGAGAGAGAAGAGGAAGGAAAGGTGGGCTGCAGCGGTGATGGCAGGGAGGTGGTGGCGCCGTAGGTGAAGGAGGCCGAAGGTCGCCGACTATAGGGGTTACGGTGGTGTAGGTTACCCACCACTGCTTTCTTTCTTCTGCCCCCTTTTTGAGTTCTCTTCTGTTTTTCTGTTTTTTTCATTTTTTCTTCAAAATTTGCCCCAAAATGACGTCGTTTTGGGGCGCTGCAGGAAGGGTTGCAGATAAGGGCGGCTGAAAATTCGAACTCATAGTTGAAAAGGGTATGCTCCCTCCATACTTTTATCTTTTATATTTTATTTTTTTAAATTTATTTTAAGTTTATAATAATAATTTAAATCGTTCATCTTGTAAATTTCACAATAAAAAATATTTGTGCAAAAAATCAGTTTCATCGACTATTAATAAGATACAATTTAAAAAATAAGATAAGATACAATTTAAACTCACAATTACTATCTATTTTTAAAAAATAAGATACAATTTATCTATATATCTAGTGATATCTGATGTGAGGAAGTTAACTTCTCCATCAAAAAACAAGAAGAAAAGAGAAGATTGGCTTCTCTGCTTGAAGAAGACTGGAAGGATCAAAACGAAAGCTCCTAAATGATCTAGAAGTAGTTGAAGAAAACCATCTTGAATTGAAGCTCCTGAAAGTTAACAATTGAGGCACCTTGAAACTTCCCGAACGCGTCTGAAACACGATGTTTTGGCATCACCGCTTGCGCATCTCATCCTTAGAGAAAACCTATAAATAGATAGGTAATGAATTGTATTTGGTATGCAAACATTGAATTGAAGAAGAAGAAGAAGATGAAGAAAGTGGTGAGGAAGCACAAATGAATTGTAATCTCTCTAAATTTTGAAATTGTTGAAATCAACTTATGAATACACCAGGAGGTCCGTCTTGTCGAGAGGAGTCCAACGGTATAAAGAACAGGTTCGTACGACCCTAGCACGCATCCCTACGCGTCTCCTAATGATTGGCGCGTGGGCCCACTCTTAGCCACATGCACTTACGCTCGATGAAGGAAGAAGAAGCGTGAACCCAAACGTGACACGCGCCACACGTGCGTGGACTGAAGCCAAGCCGAACAACCATCGCACCACCGCTCTATGCCGAAAGGACATGTATTGCACGTGTTTGACCATGACGTCATCATCACGTCATCGCTGACTGCCACATCAGCACACCACGTCAGCGTTGACCGAGCTATGTTGTCGTTGACCGAAGACACGTCACCTGCTACGTTAGTGCCACATCATCTTTGACTGCCACGTTATCCGCCACGTCAGCAGCCTAGTCAGCAACAAAATATTCCCCATTTGTAGCGGAATATGTTGATGGAATATTCTCTTGAATAACGAAATATTCCTGAAAGGTTTTGGTCAGTTTTGGGAGCACCTTTGGGCCGATTTGTGACGTAGGGAGAGTAGCCCCCAGCTAAATCGACCGTTCTAGATGCAACCGCGCTATCTGCATCTTAAGATTCGAATATGAATTTCACGAGGTTGTCAAGGGTGTTAGTATTCCAAACTATTTTAGCCGTCCCGAAGAAGGGCTCTTTTGGTGGTTTTAGAATTTTGAAGAAGAATGGTTGAAAAAATAGCTTCAACATGTAACCAAGGAAGAAATAGTTCAATCTCCAGTGCCAAGTTCAAGGTTGAGAAGTTCGATGGAACAAACAACCTTAGCATGTGGCAATGCGAAGTCTTGGACGTGTTCATCCAATAGGAATTGGATATCGCTTTGGAGGACAAACCTGCAGAAATGTCTGACAAAGATTGGAACAAGATCAACCAGCTAGCTTGTGGTACCATCCGGCTATGTCTTGCAAAGGATCAAAAGTATTCTGTCATGAAGGAGACGAATGGCAAAGATCTCTGGAAGAAGTTGGATGACAAACACATGACGAAAAGCATAGAGAATCGGTTATACTTGAAGAAGAAATTCTTCTGGTTTCAGTATAAAGAAGGAATTTTGATGTCCGAATACTTGAATGACTTTAACAAGACTCTGGCCGATCTACTCAATCTGAATGTTGAAGTTGAAGATGAAGATAAGGCTTTATTGCTGCTAAATTCCTTGCCCGATGAATATCAATACTTGATTACCACACTGCTCTATGGGAAAGAAGAAATTAAGTATGAAGATGTGTCTAACACATTGGTTAACAATGAGTACCGAAAGAAGGATAAGAAGGCCCATTATCAAGACATCAGGTGAAGCCTTAGTTGTACAGGAAAGATCGGAGGAGGAGAAGAAGAAGCAATCTGGGAGAGGGTCAAACAGAAGCAGTAAGAGCAAATCCCGCTCTATGTCTAAGGAACTGTCAACTAGAAGAATACCCACTATAGATGAATGTGCCCTTTGTCGAAAGAAAGGACACTAAAAAGCTGATTGTCCAAAAAATAATGACAATGAGACATCTATAGTCAGCCTTGCTCAAGAGAATGAAGATTCAGATTGTGTTTGTATTTCTTTATTGTTTTTGTGTCATTCTGATAAATGGATTATGGATTCTGGATGTAGTTTCCACATGTGTCCTAACCGAGATTGGTTTTCTGACTTTGAGAAGTTAGATAGTGAAACAATTCTTATGGGTAACGACGACGCCTGTAAGACAATGGGAAGAGGAAGCATCCACTTGAAGATGCATGATGGAATAGTTTGAGCTCTGAAAGAAGTGCAGTATATACCAAAATTGAAGAAGAATCTCATCTCGCTGGGCGCTTTAGCATACAAAGGTTTCAACACTACCTTGGAAAGTAGAGATCTCGTAATAGTATTGGGCACTCGAGTTATCATGAAAGGAAACAAGAATAAGAATTTGTACTTCGTGCAAGGGAGTATAGTTGTAGGTGAAGTAGCCACCAACAGTAGAAAGAATGAAGAAGTTGATAAAGTTGACACAAATTGCACGAAGAATAAAGTCAAGTTCAAGACAACAGTACATTGTACAGAAGAAAAGATGGACAATGTGCATACTAATGTATAGGGGCCTTCTAGAGTTACATCAAAAGAAGGTAAGCACTAGTTTGTCACATCTATTGAAGAATATTCTCATCGTGTTTGGGTGTACACTATGAAGAATCAGAATGAAGTTGTGAACATCTTCACAACACGGAAGAAAATTATGGAAAACCAGACTGGCAGAAAATTGAAGACCTTAAGATCAGACAATTGTGGAGAGAACATTACTGATCCGTTAAAGGAACTCAGTCAAAAAGAAGGTATAGTATATCACATCACTGAAAGGCAAAGTCCACAACAGAATGGAATGGCATAACAGATGAACAATACTCCATTAGAAAAGGTGCGTTGTATGCTTGCTCAATCCAGTTTAGGCAAGCAATTGAATGAAGCTGTGACATATGCAAGCCACCTTATCAACCGTCTGCCGACTGTTGCCTGCTTGCTGGTACTCTTGGCGTTGGAGCTCATCGAATTGCTAGTTTTTCTGGGTTGTACTGCGCCGAGCGTATGTATAACGCCGCCGTTTGATCTCCACCGGGAGCTCCATCA